ACAAATCCCTGCTCAGAGAAGGGAACTCCTCCCCCACAACACAAAAAACACACGAAATTAACTAATAAGCATTCAAATATGCCCCCCCCCCCCACTCAAACACACACTGACGAAAAACCACATCCCATCAAAGTGACTTTTAATAGGATATTTAAACTAAAGCTCACTGAATCATGTAAAATCATATACAAAATCTTACTACACATGATGATTCATTAACAATATGACATGAAATTAAATCAAGCAACTGATGTGCATCAATGAATTATTAATCATTTGTACGAACAAGACAATTGTTAAAAACATCTTTACATCTCCAGCATCTTTATTGGAACACAGCAGAAAGTAATTTTTAATTCTAACAATATAAGCTAAATAAATCGATCTTTTTCACATATGCTCTAAAACATTATTTTCCATTAAATGTCGCAGTAACATGAATGTGCATCGTGAGCAGGGGTCAAAGGGTCATGTTTCTACTTGTGCACACACATGCAGCTCCTGTGCAGGACAATAGGTCACTGGCTGGTTGTTTGGCTAGTGTGGCTCTAGTGATAGGGTCAAATGGCACCCACTGAGACAAATGTTATCTGAAAGGGTGCACACTGTATACTCTGGGGCAATTTCTGTGGAGCAGTACAAGAGGGCATGACGAACATTGTAATAATAATAATAATGCCTGGAATAGGAGCTAATGAGAGGGAGGGGGGTGGGTCGACAAATAGCATCGAAGAAAGTAGAAATGAGCACGGCCATTAAGACGTGCTGGTGAGGTATAAATATCTGGGACCACAGGGAGAAAGTGCGTCAGTTTAAGAGTGGCACCCGAGAGAGGGAACACAGAGAGCCAGAGGAGGGGAGGAACGGGAAGAAAATACAAGAACGGAGGCTTTTATACAACATAGTCAATATTTCACAGTTGGTAAGATGCAAATGTGTCATTTCTCTCATCTGGTTATTATGACTCTTGTTTTGATAATCTGCTTTTATAAACTTAAGATGATTTTTTTTTTTTTTCAGAAATGGCAAATACAGCAGGAGGAGTATTCTTTACTTTCCTCTTGTTCCTGAGTGCTACTGTGCCATGTTTTGCTGTGCATAACAGCGGGGAGTGCTTCTTCAACACCAAAGGTACAGGTATGAGTGTGTGTGTGTGTGTGTGTGTGTGTGTGTGTGTGTGTGTGTACTCTAAGGTAACAGAACATATGAAGAGTTCATATAATCCATAGTTGCAGATATTACCCAACAGTATAGGAAGTGGTTAAAAATGCTCCGTCTTGAACTGCTAAAAAATTACAATGTTATATAGCTTTATTTTTTGCCCTCTTGCTTTCAGTGGAATTGTTTTTGTTTCATTTCAATTTTTTTTAATGTATCTATTTGTTTGTTGCTTTTGATAACCCAAATTTAGTTAATTACAGCTATTTTGAATGCATGGCTTTTATTTAGAGAGTATATTCAACATTATAGAATTTATACTTCTACCAATGGAAAGGATTGGAGTACTTCCTGCACTAATGCACATGTCACAGTCAGTAACTGATGTTTTTCATTTTCAGGGAGCTGTGAATACATGGGGCAGGTTTACGGGATCGGAGAGACCTGGGTAACCGGTGACTGTTTCCAGTGTGTTTGCATGGAGCCTTTTGGAGTCGGATGCTGTGACCAGTGAGTTTGTTTTCACAACTTAAATACACTGAAAACAGCACTCAACATATTGAATGTTGCATAAGTATATCTTTATTTTTTCAAATCTTCCCTACAGGGGGTCTAAACCTGTGGACTATCCAGACTGGTGTGAGATCATCCGTAAACCCGACTCTTGCACTAGTGTTGCAGTGATGCGAGCCAATCATAAACTGCCGTGTCTGTGGGGACGAGGACGTCTCAGACCAGCTGCAGGTCGACCATGGAAATCTGACAATGATCCTATATTTTGAGTTGAGCAATTAATGCAGAAAAGCAATAAGGCAATGCATGATAATTTTTTAGAATTCAATAAATGAACCTAATTATTTTTCATCTTATTTTATCTGCAAATTATTGCTTCAACAATTACCTGTCACTATCTTTGTGTTATTCCATACTTTTTAAACATGTCTGTTTAAATGTCTGATTTATTTATGCTTCATGTTCTAAGATTCAATAAAAACGATATGTCTAATTTCTGGTATTGTCATTTTATTAATCACAACTCGACAAACATTATCATTTATTATACAAGCAACAAGGGTCTGATTTGTGGAATTTATACATGACACAACATCTGTATGTGTCTTCCTGAGCTGTTTAAAATCTATGGGTGGACAATAAAAAATGTCAAATTGCCTTTACTGTTGTTGCATGGGATGAAGATGTACGATGAAATTCAGTGCAACACAGAATCACTTCTTCCAACATAAGAAAAGAACATTAAAAGAGAAAATCCAAAAAGGAAAAAGCAAACTCCCTCAAAGTAAAGGTTCAGGAGGCTCGAGGTCTTATTTGATGTTATAAAGTTGCTGATATAGACCCACAGTCAAAAACCCCACAATCTAAACTGCAAAACAAACAATAATGCCATTCACGTTTTGCATTACTTTTCAATATGTAAAGTACATTTGAAGTACAGTACAACTCACAATCATGCATGTATCTCAGAACTGTAGAGTATATGTGACAAATAATAGGGAAACTTCCCATATGAAATGGTTTTATACTTTATAGTATGCTGGCCCCGTGCAAAACATTTATATTAAAACTTTATTAAGCAGAATCAGTTCTGAAGTAGCTGCTTTTGTATTTTCTCTTTTTTAAGCTGTTTTGAAACAGAGGTCAGTCATGGCATCCAAATTTCAAATTTCATGCAGTTTTACAATGAGCTGCACTTCTGCTTCCTGCAACACATTTCAGAGTAAGTAACAGAGCACACTTCACTGTTTGCCATAAAACAAAGGAATGATTGTGGCACTGCTTAAAAAAATGCAGGCAGGCTGATGGGGGTTATCCCAGTTTAACTATATTAACTAGCAAAATTAAATAATTCTCCATGACAAAGACAACATATATATATATATAGACAAATAAGATCACACCCATCAACACACATTTGCATATGCAAATAGACAATGACATTTCCACACAACAGCAACTACAGCTGAATTATACTTCTTACACGGTCTGGTGATACATAGTCATCCATTGGATTGGTTTCAGTGATTAAGTTGTATTTAGTGAAGCAGAAGACATGTGCTGATGCTGCGTCGCTGGAACAACCTTCCAGATGATCTGAGAGGAGCTACTACACAGTGCTTTGTATTTTTATACTTTAAATGGTTTTAGTTATTTTTGTTATCAATATTATTTCGCTTGTGCTATTTTATTTTACTAAAAATGTAGTTTGAATCATATATAGAGAAGAACATAAACTCACTGTAGGTAGTTCACTGACTGCAGGTGACTGAGAAGGAAGAGGCTTTTATCTTGAAAAGGCAGCGGCGGCGCAGAGTTTCTACGTCACCGTGTGGCGCTCCTATAGTGTGTACATACAGTGTAACGGCGCGCCCTCACTGTTGTGAGAAAGTTGTGGTGGTGAAGAAGAAATCTTTCCTCTGACCTGCTCCTGTTTTTACCGAATGAAAACTCACCACTCCGCAGTAAGATGTGGATCCTGACTCCGCTGCAGCCTGGAGGTACAGTCGTAGGTTAGCCAACACTGCTAACACTGCTGCTAGCTGCTCAAAGTTCACCTCAGCTGGTCTACTGCCAGTGTGGCCTCCAGTTCTCCCTGTTCCACATGCTCACAACATCTGTAGAGATCAGGGCTCTGTATGGACGGTAACATCTGTAGAGATCAGAGCTCTGTATGGACAGTAACATCTGTAGAGATCAGGTCTCTGTATGGACAGTAACATCTGTAGAGATCAGGTCTCTGTATGGACGGTAACATCTGTATAGATCAGAGCTCTGTATGGACGGTAACATCTGTAGAGATCAGGGCTCTGTATGGACGGTAACATCTGTAGAGATCAGAGCTCTGTATGTACAGTAACATCTGTATAGATCAGAGCTCTGTATGGACGGTAACATCTGTAGAGATCAGGGC